AACGAAAGCATTACAAATTTTTAAAGCGGATATTGACCATCAGCATGTTTGCTTGCTCCAGAAAGTCTCATTAGTGACGCAGGAAACAAACATGAAAAGGTGTTTTTAATTGTTTGGTTTTGTGTAACATTTCCGTTGACCAATGAAGTGAATCCTCAGAGTGCTTTGAAGAGGGAAATAATTATTCCAGCGCGCGGTAACTAAAGACGACTTCCCGTCGGCACACCTGCCGGCATCAGTACACAAATGCCACGTGAAAAGCACATCGAATCTCCAGATTGAGAATCGGATACACAAATGTAGACATCAGCGCGATGACTCAATTCGCTACAGATTGCGGGACTCACCGCGTACTGAAGAAACACTGTTAAATTGAATAAGAACTCACGTGTTTTGCTTAAGAATTAATAACTATTTTATGCTTTAGTGCCTTATTTTTTTGCTAGATGGGCGTTCATTCGCATGAGTTTAGCGATGAGGCGTCACGGTTTCGTCACAAGGCTGTGACCAGCGGAAGCGCTGTTCTTGGACGTCACAATCACATTGATGGATGACGCCCCGAGTAACCCGAGACGCCGGCTTTTTCGGTGCATCAAAAGAAACGTTTGCGGGACGCTTGATATTTGGCTGTCGTCTGCTACGTAATGCCAATGATACCTGAACTTTTAATTATTATGTTATTTTCATCTTTCGTAACAAAAAGTGAGAGACAAATATTTAAATAATTTTGCTGATGCTCATCATTCGTTCAACTGCGGTGTATGAATTATCCTGGATTTTATGAGCATTTGCCTCTAAAATAATCCTGTCCATCATAATATATATTATCCGGAACAATTTAGTCCAAATTACCGATATTTGTCATGATTTCCCATTAATTATCGCATTTTATTAATATTTCTCTCCTCTGATGGTCTTATATTTTGTCCCTGAGCGACATTCATTCAAACATCTTCGTCGTCTCATTCAGAGCACAGCACCGGCCATTGGATGGCCACTGATAATCAGCCGAAAATTTTTCACTGTATGGCGCTAACTCACCGCCCCATCCTAACCCTGCTCTGTAGCACAGACTACGTCTCTAGCTACGGCCGTTCTTGCCAACGCGCACGGTTATTTACGCTGCCACTTGCGCGACGGTAATTTCATATCCCATGATCGAGAGCAGCTACGTAAAAAGGATATACTTTATCGATCGAAACTTGATGGTAATCACAGAGCAGACAAAAACTCCCGTTGCTGTGAGCAGTCCTGCGAAATGCTTCGCCTAATTGCAGTTCTTGGCCGGAGATTTCGGACGTGGTCGCGAGAAAGATGGCGCTGGGGTCGCATTTTTTCATAGATGCTCTTAGGAAGCTGAACATAAATGATGTTTAGCACATAACTTATGTTATGATGTTCACATAACTTATAAAAATGTAGCACCAAGCGCATGCCCTGCAGGTTTTGTTTGGTAGCTCAAGGTTGTTTTATGCTACATAATTGGACTAGAGTATGAAGTGTGGAATTATTTATAGCAAAGACTTGCTTCATTAATGCGAATTGCGGTGCTTGTTCGCGTGTGCGTATCTAAGCGTAATTTCCGATAAACTTGATTGGAGTGAAAGTCTGCTACTTTTCTTGAGCCATACGTGCACATTTTATGCATACTCACTGAAATTTAGTCTCAACTAAAAGAAATAACTCAGATATTCGTTATTAATTTGAAATAACACATGGGTGTCATGTTTCTCAAATTTAACAGTACTTTCCTTTCTAAATGATTCATTTTTCACAAAATATTATTGAATCCCTTTTTATAGAAGCTCGCGAATCACTAAGGAATGAAAATGCGTAATCAATTTTACCTAATAAGTAGACATAAAAGTTTGATTTTATAACCTATATATAAATATACTTCAATACTAACAATCGATCGTTTAGACAAATTTTTTCTTAATTAGTTTTCGATAAACTTTCGATTGAACAGAGGTCTAATCGAACGCAATATTTGTCAGTCATGCAGTTTTCCTTGAAGCACCGCCATGTAATCGGTGACATTCCTAAATAATGACTATAAAGCCGAATGATGATCAAGTTCTTATCTCTCCGCAATGTCTTGCAACGATCATATGAAATTAATAGCAGTTTATTAACATTTTTATGATCGCGCGCACGCACCATTAGTCTAGCACGTACCAATATGGGGTGAGTAATTGTGAAGACTCGTGCGTCAAAAAGATAAGAGATTCATCAAATGATGACCTCATGGTAAATAAATTCTCATTTGTATTGCGATAGCTTAAAGGATTTATAGGCAATTTATTTGAGATCTTTGGAAATTTTTCGAATTTTTGATATTGAAAAATGGCCAGTAGAACTTTGGTGATTAACGTACAGGAATTAACGTCTGACCAACGTGTATAATTATATTTCTGTTGTTTAAAGAGTCATCAAGTTAAATTAGGTTATAGTAAATTATCGTAGACCCATAATATAAAGTAAAATTAAGCTTAATGCTATAAATTTTTTTCTTATCATTGTACATGTAAGAAATATATTAAGTGTGTTATAAAAATTTGAATATGCGAGTGACATGCTGAAACCCTAAAGATTTTGGACATAATTTTTTGGTAACGAGATTTAAAATCTTGCCGTCAATTGTCAACGACCATATAGCACCATGTACTTTTCACCAGCGTAGGTTTAAATAACTCAAAATTTCCAAATGTCGCTTTCAAGTTTCAGAAGTTGGGCAATAAGTCACTAGAAGGCGGAGGCCAACTTAAATTGAGTCTTTTTGTTCTAATACTGGGCCTTTGTTCGTCCGCATTTCTCAATGACACTGTGTTATTGCTTGTGGTTGAGTGGTTGACTTCCCTGCTACAAACATCTTCCATAAATTTTATTCCAGAAATTGAAAGCTTTTAATGCACGAGTTACACATGGAAGAACTAAAACTATAACAATTCATCTTCCAAAATGAAGTTAGCCATTTATGAGTAAATTTTGCATTCAGGTTCATTCATCATGATGTAGATTTTCTAGTTTGTAAAACCGTGAGTCCAGATATCTGGGTAGATAATTTTCTCTATGCTGGGATCAAGTGAATGAATATGCTGCGTTTCTTAGCAGAACCTTCAGCAAATAATTAATTGTATATTGTTTCGTGTTGATCAATAATTGCATGATGAAAGCTAAGTTTGTTGTTTATATGTTTATATAATATAATTATAATATAATATAATATAATATAATATAATATAATATAATATAATATAATATAATATAATATAATATGCGTAAATTCTTTGAGTTTCAAATCATACCATCTCTGACTCATTGCCTCATCAATAAAACAATCTTCTCTATTTTTCGTGAATTAATCCTATTTGTGATCTCGTGAGGTCAATAGTATAATCTGTCTCTTTTCTATGATGCACGCTAACAAATGAAAATTAAAGACATAAAACGTTTTTTATCATCGAAAACACATTTAATTTTCGCTCCCTTTCTCACTAGAGGCCAATTTTAGAACCCCTCAAACCATGATCTGATGGCGTTCATGCACGATAAAAATTTGCCACATGACTATCCCATTGTTCAGTAAAGTCTTTAAAACTTCATACATAAATGAACTGAATCACGCAGCACGCAAACAGTTCATTGAGAAACGTTCTACTCTACGCTGACAATGCGAGGCAGACACAAGCAGACGCTCACCACGTGTCGCTCTAATGACTATAACCTGGCATTCACATGCGCCCAGTCTTGCATCCACCGTCTGCGACTAGCCTCTACCAGTCGTAAAACAACCTCTGACCACCCTTTACCAGTCCCAAAACAGCCTCTGACCACCCTATACCAGTCCCAAACAGCCCCTGACCACCCTCTATCAGTCCGCAAAAGAGCCATTGACCAGCTTTTACTGGTCCTAAACAGACTCTGACAAGCCTTCATCAGCTGCTTAAATAAAAGTTCTACCACTATAACACACTAAAACAGCCCTTGATCGCGGCTATGGTCTTATTATTGACATGCCTTCATAACGCCATTAATAGTCTCACAACAGCCTCCAACCAGCCTCTGATTCGTCAACAATAACCCTATACATTCATTCAGCCTTTCTTTACTTGCTATAACTTCGTTAGAATTTCTTTGTTTCAAATGCCATATAAATGATGATAAACCGCTTCATATGGTCAAAGTGATCCAAACTGGACAGACATAAATGATCGTGGCATTCACCAGATAATTGAGTTCAAATTGGTAAAGATTCTCAGTAATCGCCCGAGTTAAATTCTCCTGATACGACAGGTGCATATATCAGGTCCGCGTTGACTTCGAAGTTACGTAACAAACTTCCAACTGCGCACGCACGCTTTCGATTTACCTACATAAAAGCTATGTGACGAATGACTTGGTCCTGTTATCTGTTCCTTGTACACCGTCCGTGTTAATGACATGCAGACAACCGTCTGCACTCCAGGCCTTTATATTCTGTTAATCACTGGACGTGCGGCTTGTGATCTAAACACAACCGCTTTGAACGGGTACTCAGGGCTCAATTTGTGATGAAAAATGTCGCTGAAAACCGAAAAGTTTATGCATTTATGCGTCTTTTCAAAATACTAAATTTTGAAATGCAATTATTTGCTCTAAATGAAGTAAACTTCCTGCTGAAGTTAAAAAACCGGGATTTATTACTAAGAAGCATTCTAGGTAAAGGCTTGCAGGAAGCGAGATTACAAGAAAATTGCGCTATTTAGACGCATTTCTATGACTGCAGAGAAAGTTAAATTTATTGTATTTCATCATCATATTCTTTGAAAAAAGTAAGCATGCCCTACACCAATGACAATTCCACAATTTTTCACGATCATTCATCATTAAATTGCCGATTTCTTCTATAATCCAGTGTAAAAAAAATGAATTTATTACATTTTTCCTGTGTTTCCCTTTTTTATAAAATTTTGTTATTGCCACAATACGATTGAAAGTTTTTTCTTTTTATTTTACAGAAGAACTACTGCATGCATCCATCCGACGACATCCTGAGGTGCGAGCCTCGACGAAGAAATTTCGAATGCCACATCCAAGAAATCAACGCACAAGGAGGCTACTTTTACTTCAACTTCGGCAAAGGCAAAAGAGACTACATGGCATGGGGGAGAAACGGTAAACTTCAAAAAGCCAGAGACAGGTTTTGCAAGACAAATGAATCGAATAAACGAAGGAAAATTAGACACCTTCATTCCAAGTCACGCAGTGGCTCTGAAAGATCCAGAGAACTCCTACCACGGAGCTTCGAGCGAAGCCAAAGTGCTTCATATGAGTCTGGAGCGAGATCATTCGAGGACTATGCTTCTGTTGAAGGAAAGAATAGTAATTATATCAATTCTCTTGAGAAACACGAGACTGGAGAACGGTTTCTCAGTGGAGAACATAATTTTCTAAGAGATCGTGCTTCCAGTGAACGTCAACGTGGTCACGTCAGAAGGAGAGGCTCCAGGAAATGTAGGAGGAAGAAAGATAAATTCATGAGGTTCATGTACAAGACATGAAACTCACAACATGAAGATTATTAGCATTCACGAATATGCTTTTATCATTTTACGTTTAAACTCCGTGAAGCTGGAGGAAGAAGCAAACGATTCAAGTGGAATTATGATATGTCTTTCCTGCTCATTATTCGTTTTAAAATTCGATTGTCTCACGCAATTTATTCGCAGCGAACTGGAAAATTTAACTCGGAAAATGTGTTGAAAATCCCGGTTGGGTATTCATGACATACCCAGTCTTAGCAGCACCTCAATAATGCGTATTCTCTATTCAATTCGCTTCTCGGAAATTTAAATTACAAGTACGATTCGACTTTACAATATAACATTTTGCCATTCGCCGTAAGAAATAGGATGTGCTTCAGCAGTGTTATTTTCTTTTGATCCAAACTTTTTGCCATTATTTATTCATAACCCAGAGACTTAAAGCTTCACGAATAACTTTTACTAATCCGGCCAAGATGTGTTCAGCAATGCTCCACTTGGAGTTTTCACGAAGCTTACCCAAGCTTATCGAAGCTCGGGAGTGAATGAGCGGTTGGAATTGCCTAGATTGGAGAAACGAGTTGATGGGTCGGAACCCACGACAAGCTGCAAAAATTTTAGTTGTAATCGGCAAGTTTAAGGGGTGTCCAATAATCGGCAACAGGAACATCGCTTAATCAGAGCTGACACTACTATATTGTATAATGATTATTTACTATTACGAGAGCATAATTCCTACCTGCCAGCAATCCAGCATTTAAAGATGATTGACTTTCACTTTTTCTAATTAGCTTTTGCAAATATTTTATCGAAAAACTTGCCGGGGTTATCATAAAAATTTTTCCAGAAAGTTCTAGCTTTGTTAAGTATGATGAAAATCGGCATAACTTTTACATTTGTATTATTTTTTTTTATTTTATCTCTTCATTGTTCAACTTTTGGCTTGGTTAGCGGTTAAAACAAGTCTTCAATCAGGATAAATCAGGTTGCAAGAACATAAATGCTCATGTAAAATTTGTCTTCATAAGAACGGAGGATAGAGCCCTGACCGACGGTGGTCACGGCACGCAGATCTGATGCAACTGCGGGTATTGATTGTTAATATAGCGTAGTGATTTTCGAATATATTTTGTAATAACTGAAGGATCTATACGTGCATATTAACTTAAGCTATTAAGTCATTTTACCTGTACCATAAAGTGCCAAGCATTAACGTAAGGACGCTAGAACCTGGTGAAGTGAGCGTCACTATATGCGAGGAATCCAAAAGAGGCTAAGCTTAGTAATGAATGAGAAAATAATGGTAAGTGTCACGACTAAGTTTTTATAAAGATTATGTTGAATAAAAGCGATTACGTTTTGACATGGAACTGATGAAATGAGTTAAACGTTAATGTGAATGTTTTCTTTAAGGTATGGATGATATTTGGTGGATGAATTTCATGTAGATGTATGATGTCGACACAAAGATAGGAAGTCACTTCATTTACGAAATTACAAAACAAACAACTATGTCAACTATTATGTGCCAAATTTGTAGAAATATATGTAAAAGTTACTCGGAATCTACATTTTTAAATTGGGTGTTTAGTTGTCAAATCATCGAACGAAGGCATTTCATTCCAAAAGAATATCATATTTTCATTTATTATCTATGTGGAACTTCTAAAGTAAGTGTGACATTTCTGTGTGGAGGTCGAACTGACGTTCAACTTCAGTTTGAGTCAAGAAAAACTGTCTTCGTTCTATAAAATGTACTTCTGTAGGTGGATGTCATGACACAGTAATGGATGTTTCTTGAACTTGTCTTTGTAATGCGTAATGGTGATTTATGTTGATACCGATATCTTTGTAACGCATGATTGTGAACGTTTGTTGATACCGATGTCATTGCAACGTATGACTGTGAAAGTCTGTCTATGCCGATATGTTATTTCAACGTATAATTATGAAACTCTGTGTATGTTGGATTGAATGCACGAAAAAAGTGCCTGGATTCACGATTTTTGCCTGTTTTTTTAACGTATAAACGCTGCATGTTGTTGTTGTACGACGTTGTAAAGCTAGTCAGAGGCTCCCTCTTATTCTTTGTAAATTTTACGACTTTCCAAGCTCTGAGGTTCGATTTGTACAATGACGTCCGCTTTATATTCCGTATAGATTTAAGCATTTGTTTTATTACGTTAATATCAAGCGCACTTCGGCCAATGAATCATTTATAAATTTGACGTACATGTTTCAGTTTGATAAAGTTGAATAAATAAATAACGCTTCACTATCCAATACACGAAATTAAAAAATAATTAAATGAATACGGGTTGATCGAATATCAACTTTAATGTTTCGTATAATAAAATTTAATTATTTTGGCTGCCATTTTAGTGTTTCAATTGTTCATTGAAGAACACTTATGTATTATTTTGACACGCCATTTTTAGCGATGCTTTTATTTAGTAAGCTTCGGTAATACATAGTTACCATTTATTCTGTAATAACTGTCACTTATGATAAAGCTTCGAGCCTGAATTTTGTATTAGATCCTTTATAATATATTTTTGCATTTTGCATGTCATTTGAAGGTTGCTTACTTGTGCTGGATAATGCTGGTTAATCTTGAATAAAAACCTTCCCCTGAATGATTTTTCATCCAACAGCCTAAAGAGAAAAAAGTATAACAATGATGAATATAAATCAAAGTATTCTTGTAAATGAAGCTAGATTTGTTTATTTTATCTTAATGCTTGGGTAGGATTGCACGGTTCTATAAAAATGAAAAATAAAAAATGCAACCCAGAAAAAACTATGAATTAACGAACATCACGGACTGCCTCGCGCGAGGAACGGTGGTACAGAATTATGAGAGGCATGAAACAGAGAAAAATGTTCTTTTTGTGAGGCACACCGACCTTAATGTGTTGCGAGGCACACCAACCGTAATGTGTTGTGAGGCACACCAACCGTAATGAGTTGTGAGGCACTCCAACCGTAATGCTTTGTGAGGCACTCCAACCGTAATGAGTTGTGAGGCACACCGACCGTAATGAGTTGTGAGGCACACCGACCGTAATGTGTTGTGAGGCACACCGACCGTAATGTGTTGTGAGGCACACCGACCGTAATGAGTTGTGAGGCACACCGACCGTAATGAGTTGTGAGGCGCACCGACCGTAATGAGTTGTGAGGCTCACCGACCGTAATGAGTTGTGAGGCTCACCGGCCGTAATGTGTTGTGAGGCTCACCGACCGTAATGAGCTTAAGATATGCCAAGCTATCAATGTCTGACGTCATCACAATGCGCACGCGTCGCGGATACCAGGAATTTCCTATCAGGTCCACATTTTTAAGACGCATTTCCGAGTATCGGGCGACAGCCGCCTGTTCGCGTGGTGAAATCTTGCACACATCATCTCACGTTCCGAAATTAAGTTGTTTCATATTTTCATAGCTAACGAATTTTAAGCGAATAATTTATAGGTTTATCATGAAAGGCCAGCAACGAGCTGACTATCGTGTGTCCGAAGTTAACATTACAGATGAAGCTAATCATTATATCATTAAATGTTTGATAAAACTTAAATTTCCTGAAAGTTTGTGAGAACTTGTATCGTTTGACCAAGTTGAAGGTCTGGTAGGAATATATAGGGTGAACCTAGGAAATTCGTTAGCCAACTCGACGCTGAAAATTTATTATAGAGTTTCAATACTTCTTATCCTACAATACTAATTACATAAAATTACTGCCAACTATAGTAAATATAATAAAATTAAAATATTAATTGTGATAATAAAATAGGTAATTAATTTCCATTAAACAACATTTTGATAACTGCATTTCCATTTTAAAAGATTACCGTAAAAATTGTTGTTAAAAGTTCAATTTTTCAAGTGAGGAACTCTTGTATTAAGGAAAATAAAATATAAATGAGTTTAGCACTTATATTATGCTTATATAAAGAAGCCTAGATATGAAATACGATGAAGAACAAGTATCCGAAACAACGTCAGCATTAGCTAAGAAATATCTTATAATTCAAACAACATTATCATAATTATGAACAAATGGAATATAAAAAGGTGAGAAATACGTACCTATTAAAATATTCAGGCTTAAAATCAAATTTTTTTCTTCGCTCATTTGGTAAGCAAAATAAGTAACAGAGTCACAAAACATTCAAAAATATATATAACATTTAAGAAGTAAGTTTACAAATATGAGCAGCCTGATGACTGCACTACTCACAACTAGTTAACTGAAACTATGCTGTCAGCTACTATTTACTCTCTTTGATATATGTATTTCTAGCTTCCTTATACAAAAAGAAAAGAAACTATTGCGACACAAATATTACTTATATTAGGAATGATAAGGTATCCAGAACAGATGCAATGCAGCTGCCTCTATCCTGCATTTGTAATGTGACAAATTCTGTACCTGAGGCGGCAGCAATGAGGTGGTCTGAGCAGACCATTCGTGGCATCTGCTTCCATCACGTACATGGACGCATCACGTACATCTGTGCATTGTACCCACGTGTGTACACATGACTCCAAGGTGTATTTTATCTCCAAATAAATTATTCATTTATTAATTCTTCGTGGCGGTTATTTTCAGACTATGGAGATCAATATCTTGGCAAAAAGTTAATTATTATAAATGTGTATCATGTCATTCGGTCATCTTATTCTAGGAAAATTTATTTTTTTTTTCAAATTCCTCGGAGTCTAATCGATAAGTTTTGGTCATTTGAATTTTATTTCATGTATCAGTTCATATAATTTATATTTTACCCAAATTCAAATTTGTAAAGTCAAATCTCTCGGTGCCTTCAGATAAGCATTAAAATTTTTCCATGCAACTTGAATGGAAATAAATGTGAAGAGGCCGTAAATTCCCAGGCCGCTACAATGCCAAGCTGTATTCGTGAGACCAAAGCCTCATAAAGAGGATAAAACTTTCGGCCTCACACACGGAGGAGAATGGGTGTGATGAGCGGTTAAAACTCTGCCTTACACACGAAGGAGCATAGAAACGATGAGCGGGTAACACTTTCCGTCTCCACCACGTAAGAGAAGTGATGAGCGGGTAACGTTTTCCACCTCACCCAAGGAGGAGGGTGGAAGTGATGAGAGGGTAACGTTTTCTTCCATCCGCAGGGAGAAGCAGGAGTGATTTGCCGGTAACATTTTCCTCCTTACACACGAAGGACCATGGAAATGATCAGCGAGTAACACTTTTTGTCTCAGCTACGGAAGAGGAGTCATCATGGGTAACATTTTCACCTCAACCACGGAGGAGGGTGGAAGTAATGAGAGGGTAACATTTTCCTCCCTACGCACGGAGGAGCTGGAGTAATGAGCCGGTAATATCTTCCTCCTTATGCATGGAGGAGCTGGAAGAAATGAGAGGGTAACATTTCCTCCTCACAAACGGAGGAGCTGGAGTGATGAGCCGGTAACATTTTCCTCCTTATACACGGAGGAGCTGGAAGTAATGAGAGGGTAACATTTTCCTCCTCACAAACGGAGGAGCTGGAAGCGATGAGCGGGTAACACTCTCCCCCGTGCATACGGAGGGGCATGGAGGTGGTGAATGAGCGACACTTTCCTCCCAGCAAACGCAGAAACATGGAAGTGATAAGCGGGAAACATTTTCAACCCAACACACCGAGGAGCATGGAAGTGATAAGCCGGTTACACTTCCATCTCGACACATGGAGAAACATGGAAGTGATGAGTGGGTTATCATTATAATTTGTTGACGGATTAATTACCGCAGAACAAAATAATTTCCTCCCCCAAAGGAAATTGTTAAGAAAAAATTAGCAAAATGTTTTCAATTCAATTAATACTTTTGAGCTCCAATAAGAACAGGCTTATTGTTGAATGGGTAATGGCTGTGATACATCACGGAAATGGTCCTGATACATTTGCTTGGAAATCTCATTGTGCTCGACGGGAGATCTGTTGAGTTTATTATAAATTTCAACTGTATTAGCATTTGCTGTTCACCGATATACAGCCATCCATCAAAACTTTCTCTTTCTCGCTGAATGCCAGACGGGTTTTTCGACTCAGCATGCAGAATTCTAAGGATACAAAGGATGTGTAGAGACTGGCCTTGCTACTCCTTATCAAAAATGATGGACATAAATGATATCGGCAGCTGCTTTTAGTCCTCGGATAGTCGCATAAAAGTCAGAAATGATTTTAAATTTACAGTTTGGAATTGATTTGAAAATTCTGTTTTGTGACATTTTAACACCGTGTGAAGTGACAGCAATCCGTAATTAATGATTGCGTGTTTATTGATACATAGGCATTTAAATGAGTTTCATGCGTAATAAGTTGCGATCCCTAAAATTCTTTTTAGAATGTTATGGCTGTTAATTTGTTTAGCTTGGTATTAAAATTATATTTCAGACACATTTCTTGAAATTCTGCAATGCAATATTACATGTAATCACGAGACGCTCACTAAATGAAAATGTACGGCTTCCAAACTGCAATGCTTGGGAAAATATATTCTCTGTTAATAATAATGCTTGACTACCATAAATTTTAATTAAACTATTGAAACATTGGCAGCCGTTGGTCATGTATTGGCCACCGATAATCCACCCATTATTCTCGCATAAGTCTATCATAGGTTAGCCTCGGTGATTAAATACACATCAGAGGAGCTCGATAAGCGGCCGGCGGTTGTCGAACGACAAGAGACGAGCATTAGACGATGTTGGTCTATACTTGCTGTCTTCCACCGACTAAGACATAAATAACAAGGCCAATTCTACTCTTATGTTCTTTGAAAGTCTTTCTCGATGCAAAATGAGGCTTATTTTTTTAAATTTGAATTCATTGCGCGGGTTTCAAATACAAGTATTCGCTCTACTCGTGCGGGCAAGGAAGAGAGGTGAATGCTTTCTCCAAAACGTAATTTCATGGTGAAAAATTATTTCAGAATTAAGAGGTGAATAATAATGAGTAACAGGTGTGAATAGTGAGAATAATGACCAACACTTAATGCTAAAAACTCGGTATTATATTCGTTGAAAAACAGTATGTCATATTCGCTGACGAAGAAAAGTTTATATTAAATTATGATTCAATAGGAAGTCCTCGTTGATGAAAAATACGCTGCACATACCTTGAGAAACAATTATTTATGTCTTAAAATTGCAATTCTTGCAATGCAGTAAAGTCAAATTGAATTAACGAAGCAGCTCATCAGAAAATCCAACAAGTTATCACAAATGCGTCTGTACCATAATGAGCCCTGCAACCACGTAGAACTAATCATTTACCTACGCTTGATGGATGAGTTCCTTGTCAACGATGGCATAATTCAGCAGTAAATCATGCAGGACTTGTTTTTATATATCTTGATTCCTCTGTAAAATCTGGTCCGTTGAAGTCGTTATGAACACTCATAAGGATTGTTTGAAGCGATCATTTTTAATTACCAGTAACAAATTTTAATCAATAATCCATAATTAAAAAAAATGTTTGCACTTGCTGTTTTTTAGACGCGTTGAAGTTATCTCTGCAGAAGCTTGAAGGGCGGAACGTTGCCTTAGGTCTCGATAGCTAGCAATTGAATTCGAACTCGGCAGTGAATCAGATCCATAAGCCGCATCG